TGGGCAGTAATAAATAAAAGTTTCATGGGGCTTATTGCATAAATTCCCCTTAACCGTTAAGCGTTAACAGTTAGCCGTTCACCGTTCACCATTCACCGTTAAGAGTGATAAGGTTCGACGCTAAGGTCCCATAAACCCAGATTGCGTGTTAAATAATACATGGACCCAAGCTGAAGACGACAGTCAACAGCCGAAACAGCCAGCGGAAGATTAAGTTTATTCCCATAACTGCCATTTTCAACTCGCCTTTTCCGATGTCACTTTTCACTTTCCCAAGACTCCAACCTCAACAACAACAACAACAACAACAACAAAAGCAACAGCAACAAAAACACCAACAATAACAACAAACTTCTTTAAAAACATTCAAAAGGATAAAGAGTTAATTGGGAGACAAGCGAATCAGCTTGAAGGGCGACATCAAAGCCACGCTGATGATGGGCTACATCATGGGTTGTGCTTGTTTCAAAGGTAGGAACGAAATCAAGTGTGGAAAACGAGTGTGAAGTGCACTGAACAAAATTTTAGATACTAGAAAAACTATTCAGTTAACTTTTGAGGTTAACAAAATCCTATACTTAATTCATATTTTGCTAATCACTTTGTATAATATATTAATATACTCGTATAGATGTTCATATACCAAAAATCTTTAGTTTTGTTGACCAGTGTAAATTGGAATGTGAAGAAGATGCTAAAATGGGAATGCGAATTGAGTGTCAAAGGCATGCGAAGTAGAATGTGAAATATTTTAAGGAGATAAATAAAGAAATTGGGTATTTATTAAATTTTCTAATACATTTTAAGATAAACTCAGATTTTATGTAAAAAGTTGAACCTGAATGAAAAGTTATCTTTGAAAGTTTTTATAAAACATTGCATGTTTCCTAAGAAGTTTCAAAGTTGAGTTAAAAAAGTTGCAGCTTAATTTATTAAAAAGTTAATACAAGTTTTGTACTAAATAGTAGCCGTCCGAACTATAGTATCCGCCAGTCTACCCCCTTGTTACTCTTCAACTGTCAATCGTCAACCTGCCACTGGCCACATTTTCCCACCTCACTTTGTTCGGCTTTTCCTTCCGCTCATTAGGCGGTTGTCAAAGGAAAAGAAAAAGTCATGCGAAAAAAAAGAATCACAGCTTGAGGCTTTTCCTATTTTGTCACGCTTTTCGGTTTTTTTTTTTCGCCCTCTGCTGCACACGCATTTTCGCATTTTTTATGCAACGTCACCGACGACGTCACAGAAGCGGAAATGAGAGCCTGCGCTCTGCATCCTGCGCGTGCTCTCTTCATCCTTGTTTTCGTCTTTCTCTCTTTCTGGCTCTCCCGCTGTTAAGTTTGACTTATTAACAGTCACTTAACAGTAATTTGTAACATTTTTTATGGCAACTCGATTATTTTGGTTTTTGTGCATCTGCCATGGCGATTTTCCCATTTGCCTTTTGGTTTTTCACGGCTTTTCATGGTTTTTCATGCCTGTTTTTTTCCTCCGACCCTCTGTGTGGGCAAATTACTCGATAGCCTTTTTGAGTGCAATGTGATTTTTATGTTGCCTTTTGCACTTGCCTTGTTGTTTTGGCTTCTGGCTGAATGTTTGTGGTGTTTTCGGGGGTATAATGGCTGAGTCCTTGAGTTTGTTTATCTGGTTAGGATTGGGATATAGAAGGTATATAGCGTATACGAGGCGGTATCTTGATTTGTTTGGAGGTGAAGTGCAGTCTTTGTTTACCTTGTGGTTCTACTGTTTGTCAGTCAAGCTTAGACTTCACTGCACTTTATTTTATGGTTTGACTGGCTGTTAGTTTAAGGTTAATCTTAATTGGCTGTTGACCTTTAGAGACAAATTGGTTTTTATTAATTTATCATATCAGTGTCAACTCTACTTTCACCTCTCTAGGTACAGCCCAGTGTATTTGTACTTTATTTTTAGCACCTGGAATGTAAAATTCTTTGAATGAATGGTTAGCATCCTTAAACCATCTCTCGTTTGAGGCATTTCCTGTGACCTGCGAAGGCAGAGAATGCCTTTGGGCACTTAGCAGCCTCCTTGGGCCTCCTGTCAACCCACCTAGTTTTCCACCGCCTTTATCTTCCCGCTACTTTCCGCCTGCCTGTAAGCTGTTCTTTGCTTTTGCATTCCATAAGCCACAAAGTATGAGTAAGCACTTAACCCTTTCTTTGCCCGCTTTCCTGCTTTCTCTTACCCTCTTTCGTTCACTCTCTCGCTCTCTCTCTGTCTCTCTTGCATTCCTGACACGCATTGCAAGTCTAACCTTTCACATTTATGCGTTGCACACGCCCCTTGGCCGCCCACTTTTTCTCTTCTAGTTAGTTTTATTCAATTTTTGCGCTATTTTTACTGATGCAATTTTACAGCGGAAACGAGGAAATCGAGACAGCCGTAGAGAAAGTGTGTAAAAGGGTTGAGGAAGGGGGTTAGGTTGCGAGAGTGTGTGCATGAGAGACAGCAGGGCAAGGAGGCTGCCTAAGTGCTTCGCCCATTAAAGTATGCAATCATTTTGCGGTTAGTTGCCCTTGTCTTCCTGCCTCTTGAACCGCCCCTTCACCATCACTTATCTTCTCCAGTTTCCTTGCCCCCCCTTTACCCTTAAGCAATTTCCCCGCTTTTACGGCTGCATAAATTTCGCCACTGGCATTCGCCTTTAAACCACTTTACTAATCCGTTCTAAGGTCGCTAGTTCCTTGACGGGATCAACCATTTCCCAGGTGTCTTTGCAGGTATTAGGAGTTATTGCCTGACTTAAGTGGATTATGATTTAATTTCCCCACAAAACTAACTATAAACTATTATTGGAAACAATTCAAAGTAATAGATTTCAGTTTGTAGATAGATTAATAAAGTTTTTGATATATGAAACTCCCCAGAAATCTCTTTCATCTTTGACATTTATGCCATATTTTTTTTTGCCGTTCCATTTGCTTCCCCTCAAGTTCATTCATAAACAAATTAGTGGGTTCTTCTTCTTCCCAGCCTTTGCCCCCACAATTAAATCGAAAACACAAGATTTCCCCCCCTCGATTCGTTGACCCCTCTCTCTCTCCCTCTCTCTGACCACAAAGTAGAACACCCGTAGAATCTACGTATAAATAAATAAATAAACAAGCGTTTAATTGAACCGGAAATTATTGTGTGTGGGTTGTGTGTATGCTTCTTCTTATTCACCTCCCAACTGAGTGTGCTTGTGTGTGTGAGTGTGAGTGTGAGTGTGTTTCTTATTGGAATTCGTTGTTCGGTTTTATTTAGTTTTAGCCCACAGTTGTTGTTGCTGTTTGCTCGCATTGCGTTTTAGCTCTTCAACTTGTTTGCCCAGTTGGTTTATCGTCGTTAGAAAAAGTCTGAGAGAGAGAAGGAGAGGTGTATATGGTGTGTGAAAGAGACAGGAAGACAGCGGCTAGTGAAGTTTTCTTGCTTTGGGGCAACAAAAATATCTACATGGGACTGATTAGTTTTATTCTCGGCTTTGCCAGCAAGTGCCAGAGATTTAAGCTGAAATGGGATTATGGAGAAAAGTTTTTCGAATATTTATTGTATTACTTTAAGAAGGGGTTTTTCTACAATGCAAGCTTATCATGAGTGTTATTTTGGGTTTAAGTTGTTTGTTTTAAACTTCAGTTCGACTAGGAATTAGAAAACAAACTCATCGCTGTCATGTTGAGGGTAAAATCTGAGAAAACCAATTTTCGCATTTTCGATAAGGGGTTACATCATCAAAATTTGTAACAAATTAACAAATTTTTACGTTTTAAACTGTGAATACAGTTTTGTTGGATTTTTAATTACGAGCTTAGCGAGGTATCACATTCCATATTCGGACCATTATTGCCCAAGTTATGGGCATAACCCTGGCATGTTGAGGAGAAAATCTAAGATAACGAATATTCACATTTTCGATTAAAATTTGCGAAAAAAGGGTAAACATTTACATTTTAAACTGTGAATGCAGTTTTGTTGGAATTTTAGTTTCGAGTCCATCGATATATGACATTCCATACTCCGTCCGTTTTTGGCTTTGTGGTGGGAAGAATTGTGATTGTTTGGGGAGTCAATCAGACTTACGATTTCTGACAGAAAATGATACCTTTTTGATCGGTTTTATACCTATTACTTAGTCAAAAGAAGACGCACAGCTAAAAGGAGGACTGTTTTGTGAATCTAACGACCGAAACAAACTTTCCTCATCATTCGTTTTGTGATTTTTGGATTTTTAATTTTTAGCAATTTTTTGAATTTTTTGCAAGGGGTCATCAAAATATGCGAAAATTGGCAACATTTTTACATTTTAAACTGTGAATACAGTTTTGTTGCAATTTTAATTGCGAGCTTAGCGAGGTATCACATTCCATTTTCGGACCATTATTGGCTAATTTATAGGCATAATAATTTCATGGTAAGGAGAAAATCTGAGATAACCAATTTTCGCATTTTCGGTAGGGGCTAACATGTTTGTTTACTCTCTAGTTTACTGCACATTGAAATAACCTCTACTTTGGTTTTTTAAGTTGTCTTTATATTCGATTTAAATGCAGTTACAATTTTAAACTAGAAACTGTTGTTAAGTATTCTTCTTCTATATTTTATTTTTGATTTAAGGTACCAGAAAGGCATTAAAATCCTCAAATACACATTTTAAGATATTGTTAAGAGAATTTTTAGTTGCTCGTTTACATTAGCAGTAGGGATTCCCCGTCTAGAACCCATTAATATTCAACCCCTCGCATTAGCGTGATATTTCCCCTTTCTTAGTGTGGGTGTGTATCTGTGCTTGCGTGTGTGTGCCCTCTGTATCTTGCAGCACTTTCTGGTAAATTACAGTTGACATTCGTTGCATGTTCGACTGGCGATGCTCGACAATTTCCATTTCCATTAATGGCTGCCCAGCCACGCCCCCAACTTGTTGAATTAAATATAATTTGACGTTATTTATTGGAATGGAGAAACTCAAAGAGCTATCTTTGCTAGATAATCTGGCATTTCAGCACCCTAATTACCCAGCTGAAGGGGCTATAAAATATCTTGGGAGTAGCAAAGAACGCATTAGTTCAGCCAAAATGTCTCGATTAGCGACAGCTTACCAAAGAACGGTTGTGGAATATTTTCGAAAAACAAGTCTCAATGGCTTTGGCCTGCTCTACTTTATAAGAAAGCGAAGAATTCAGCGAATCTTCTGGTTTTTGTTTATTAGTTTTGGCATAATTTTTGCCGGCTATGCAGTGTTTTCCATGATTCTGGAATTTCTCAGCTACTCAACTTTAGCAGATCTCTCTGAGTTGAAGGTTTTGGAAGAGGAAATGGAATATCCAAAATTGAAAATATGCAGTGGCTATAGGCTTAGTCACAGGAAAATGCTGAACTACGCAGCTGAGTTAGTAAGTTCTGGTAATAAATCGGTGGAGTTTTGGCTGAGTAAGTTAGCATTGATAGAAGGTTACTTTGATGATTTTTCTGTGAAGGAGGAAGAGGTTTTTGGTTTGAATAGTTTACTGACTGTAAAGAATATCACTTCACTTTTACTGAGTTTAACTCCAGCTTGTGAGTCTCTAATACTTAGATGTGAAAAAAATCAAATTTCTACAAATTGCACTAACTTATTCATACTAGAAGCTGGCAGTCAAGGCAACTGCTGCGTTTTAAGCAAGGAAAACCTCACTGGGGAACTTTCCCTGTTCCTAGACTCCTCCCAAGAAGATGCATATCCCTTGAAAGATAACCTTCCAGGCTTTAGCTTGCATGTTCCTAGTTGGCAGGGCAGAATGAGCCTTAACCCTGGAGAAAGGGCAGCTGTGGAAATAGAAGTTATGGAACTTCTGGGAAATACTCAATTAGAAGAGTACGCCATAGGAAAGCGAGGTTGTTATTTTCCTCAAGAGGGTGAAAGTAGAGAGAAGTGCCTCCATGAGTGCAGAATAAAAGCCACGCTAATTAATTGCCAGTGTGTGCCATATCCAGTTGAGTTTTCCAAGGAAAACTTTAAACAGTGTTCTTTGGAGAATATAACTTGTTTGCAGCTGATAGAGGGTGAGTTTTCTCTTTATAGTTTCTCTAACTATTTAAAGTGATTTAATTTTCATATAAACCCAGAGAACTGGTCACCCTCACAGTGTCCCCAATGTCTGCCTCTCTGCAATGAACAAATTTATAGATTGAAAAAACAAATTCAGGGATATTTGCATCCTTGGAGAAGTGAGTTGAGTTTTAAATTTAAAACACCGCGTCGCCAGCTCTACAAAACAAACATTCTCTACCATTGGTATCAGATGCTGTGTGAGTTTATTTAACTCTTAAAAAAAATATTCAATAAATTAAATTAAAAACTTTATTTTGTTATAAAAACAAAGCAAACGTTGGCGGCGTTCTGGGCATTTGCATTGGCTGCTCTTTCATCAGCGGCTTCGAGCTGATCTACTTTATGGTCTTTCGTTTATGGTCAAACTATCTTCGGCAGTCTGAGATTTAATTAAGTTAAATGTTGCACATACGCCATGTGGGCAAATTTGTTGTGATTTATCTCGCTGACAACGTGCCACCGACAGCGTAGCATTAATCTTGATGACTTGAATTGTAACTGAGGCGAAATAAATGAGTGACAGTGGAAGGAAAGGACAGTGCTTGGGTGGTGGGTGGCTGGGTGACTTAGCTGGAGTGTGCCGATCATCAAGGTTAAGTGGTCTGCTGAGTCCCCTTTTCATCGTCTCGGCTTGTTCACAGTTCGTCGCCTGGGGGGCCACTTGATGACTACTGAACGGCAGCGAAAAAGATACAGAAAAATGTATCTTCTTATAGAGAGACTGGAAGAAAAATGTTTATAGATTAAAGAAGGGCTTTCAAGATCAAAAATAGATAGTTTTATGACCAAAAAAGCTAAGAAAAAAAAAATTAAATATATAAGAGAAAGATTTATAGAAAGAGATTTAAGAAAACCTTCATTTTCTGATTTCTATTAGCTGCTACTTTCTCTCAGTGCCCTTGTGCGAGTGTGAAAACCTTTCCCTAAGTGCACTTCAGTGTGCGTTTTACTGTATTGATTTTTTCTCAACCGTCTTGTCAACTTTTGAATAATAAAAATCTTCTTTCTTTCATTGCAGGTGAGTTTTCCCAAGAAAATAGTGCCCCGACTGGCTATAGCGTAAGTTTTATAAGGTTAAGAATTTAAATTTCCAAAACTAAGTTAACAGAAAATGTTAAAAGGCTGTTAAGTGGCAGAGAGAAGCTTCGAAAGCTCTGCAGAGTAAGGAAATCAGCTAGGTAAGATTTTCTTTTAAAAAGAGCTTTATGGGAAAGCTTTTCTTTTGGGGCTCTTGAGTTGTGTTAAATACAGTGTAATTTTATGGTCCTCTCTGGGTTATCACAAATCATGTTCAATCAATTGAAAGCCAAGACAGAGCAGCAGCTTCTAAAATCAAAAAACATGCTTAAATTTCCAGCCATGAATTATCAAAAATCTAGAGATAAAAACTGCAATCTAAGCAAGGAATAAAAACCTAGAAGCTGCACACAAACACACCCATTTAATAGCCTTCTGGGGGCACAAACACACACACACACACACACACCGGGCAAGGCGAACGTCTCCATTAATTTTAAAACCGCCAACTTATCAGGGCAGCGCGTCATGGTCCTAAGTGATTTCCCCAGCTCTCCGTTGATTTACGGGGGAAAAGTAGCATCGGCGGATATCTGCTCTATATTACACACATAGAGCCACTAAACGCAAGGACATGCGATGCCATGTCCTTCACCTTCCACCCTGTCGTCTCTCCTCCAAAAAAAAGGAAGCGAAAAAAATTTATACATAAATATCTCCGAGCGGAGGAACCTTCGGCATTCCTTTTAAAGTATTCCGTATGCGGCGGCGGCTTGTCCTGACATTATTATTTTTTATATCGTTTTTTTTTTTCGTTGTTTCTGCTCGGCTGATGAGTCGCTGATCAAAGGCATTCCGGGCTGGCTTTTCCGGGCAACAGTTTCGTGGAAAATTCAATTGGTCCGGCTTAATGTGTCACTTTACAGTCCATTCGAGAGTAGTTCGATTTAGCGGCAACTAATTTGGGATATTTGAGAGGGGATCCTAGGGTTCTATTGGGTATCCTGTGGAAATGGGAGTTCGTTTGTGAAGTGGGAAGGTAATTTAAAGCCTACTTTTAGGGTGCTAATTTTATTCCTTAAAGATGGAAGTTGATTTACTGCCTTTAAATTCCTCTAAATAAATGACAGAATATATATATAGACCAAAAACTCAAGTGACTTACCAAATTGAAGGTGTGAAAAACTTGTTTAATTTCTTCGAAATTGGGCATTGTTACCATTAGCAACATGTGCAGGCGTGGGCGGGCCAAGTAGAAGAAAAGTTTTCATTGCAAACTTGAAATTAAATTGGTTCAAATTAAACATTTCAAACAGCTTAAACTTGTGTCTCAAATTGCCAGCCATTGTTCGACGCCCGACTCCGACTCCGATCGGATGTTGGCCTGGCCCCAAGGACATTTAGGCAAAGGACCCAAGCAGAGTAGTGATGCTGCTTGACTGCCTGCTTGGTCTGCCTTCTCCCCTTTTTCTCAGAACAGAATCCTGCATCGATGTTGACTGTCTCATTTGCATAATTCTAATATGGAACATTTTTGGCCAGCAGCAGCAGCAGAAGCTCCCTCAACTGTCCACCTACACACGCACACACACACACTCACACACACTGGGCCAGGAGATTTGCATAAATAAAAGCGTAGTTGGGCCTCCATGTCCTTGTCAACGTAAATTACGGCCATTTGATTTCGGCAATTACAACGCATTTTTGTGCAACAATTTCCCGTAGTTTCCCTTGCCTGATTTATCTTGTTCTCCCCCTGCCACAGGCGGGTAGGGCCATTTCAATTTAAGCTGCCCTCCTCAGTCAGCTTTCGACATGTTGTGTGTGTGTGTGCTGGCCAAGTTAATTATGAGCTTATCCTTGGACTTGTCTGCAGTCGACTATATTTATTGTCGCTGTTTTCTGTCTGCAGGACTTCCTCTGTGATTTTATCCGCCATTGTTCGCGGACATTTTCCTGCAACCGAGGCGCAGCAATTTGGCTCTCGTCCTAGAAGTCCAAGCAACAAAAACTAAGGTAGACAACCTTGGCCATGGGAAGGACTTTCTATTTATCTATTTACCCCAAGCCAAGTTGCCGCCGTGGACTTGTTTTTTGGACTATTTGCATTTGGCGGGCGGAAAATGAGAATGAAAATGATTATCATTTGTTTTCGTTAAGTTGGCTAAAACCAAAACTGTCCAGAGAGCCAACAAGTTGTGGCAGCTCATAAAAATGAATTACGTGCGGTGGACCCAAGGATTCTAGTAGTTTATCTAAGCTTTTCCTCTTGTCCCTCTTGCCCCTCCCGCTTTGCCTTTTCCTAGGAGTTTTCCTTAGATTTCCAGGGATAAGTTTTGCGTAGGGGTTTTTGGGATTGCAAGAAAGGATAAAGCATATTCACGGTCCAATGATATGAGACAATTTTTGTTGTGGTTTAAAGGAATGCAAATTGAATTTGCTTGGGTAAATTTATGTATGAGGAAATACGGAAAATACACGCTTGATTTAAAAGCCATTCGGGCAGGGGTTGTTTCGATCGAATTATTTCCATATTTTTCTCATCAATTTGTGGCTACAGGGAAGTTATTGCTTCTTTGCTAACTTGTGATTAAGCTAAAAAAACAAGTCATTACCATTAATATTTAATTCTAACGATCAATCATGCCAACGTTAATGCAAAATTCTCCTTTGGCTAACAACCTGAATCGCTTTTCCAATTACAAAGAAATAACTCAAAATAATTTGTATCGATTTTGGTGAAGAGCTCTTCTCCCGTAACGACTATTTTGCCTGCATCAATTCCTCCTCTGCGATTTACATGATTTCCTTTGCCGACTTTCCAATCCGCTTTTCCGCATTTCCCCTCCCGCTGCCCTTGACCGTTGTGTAAGTCCCGGAGTCTTATGCAAATGCTTTGAGTCCCCTCAATAGTGGGGGAGGAGCGGAGCGATCCCTGTCGTCCTGTCCGTTCAATCAAAGTTGACATTGCCTGGCGGGAACATCCAGGAGACCCGGGACAGGGATTCATCCCTGTCATTGTCATTTTTCCTCTCTGTTAGTGTGTGTGTGTGTACGGTAGTGTGTGGGCGTTTTAAAGCGATTTTATTTATGCAACGGCATGTGCTCGCTGAGCCGAGTTCTTAACCGAATTTGGCATGCAAATTTTGCACGTGCCTTCATCTTTGTGTGCATTTAATTATTAAAATTTAATTTGGCCAATTCTTTCTGCTCTGGCTCTTGGCTTGGGCCTTTTCTTTCAGTCCTGAAATCAGGTTGGAAACTACTCGGAAAATCGAGGCCTTTGTCTGCCGAGCAAACAACCTGTTTGCATCCTTCGAAAAGGAAATCTAAAATATGACCCGAAATAGTTTTTTTTTTTTCTGGTTATAGCCAAGAATGGCATTATTCCTGTTGCTCTTCTCTTCTGGCTGATAAATATTTGATAACTTGCGTCACTGGCATTTTTAATGCCTAAGAGAGAGCACCCTTTCTTGGTCGAAAGAGAGTTTTGGTGGGTAGAAGTTTAAGAGAGAGAGAGAGTTGAAAGCTTTTCCCAGCACGTGCCGTTTTGTCGGCGAAAAGCGAATTCAAGTTCAAGTCACACACAACATTGAAAGCCAAGTTCACAGGCTCCAAGGCTCCCTTGTCCTCGCCCTCTTCCTTTCTCTTTCTATACGAGTCAGGCTGTCTCTTTCTCTGCCGCTGACTATGTATTTTTGTGATTATGTAAGCAGTTTCTGTGTGTTTTTCCCAGCTATTTGTCCTTTGTTGGGTTTTTATTTAGTATAATGATAGTTATGGGGTGTGAAAAATATCTGAAAAATATAGAAATATTTATGGATTAAGCGTGTTTATTCTATTATTAAGCAATTTGTTAACTTTGTTAAACAAATTTTGAGTTTTTTGGAGTCATAGACTTACTAAATACTAAACTAAGACACAGACTAACTTGCTGAAACCTTAACCAGCCTTTGTTTATCTTTGTTGTCTTTAAATTTGATTTTTATTTTTCGGCTCAAAAATTTCAATTTCAATTGCATTTTCTTCTGTTATTTATTTTTCATTTTCCCTGGCATTTTGCTGAATGCTGGCAGCCGTCCTTTTTGTGATTCCTCACCAGCTATCTGTTGTTTGTTGTGTTTTTCCTTTTTGGCCTTCTTTTGGCCGCCTTTCCCTCTGTCATTTCCCCCTTGTCAATGAGAACAACAAAAGCGGAAGGACGCCCGCCGCCATAGTTTCTTCCAGCTGGCTGTCTCTTTTGCCCCAGCCCTACCCATCTCTTTCTTTTGGCATTCATTGCGTGGCTGTCTCACATATCTTAGCTTCAGCAGCATCCATAAACTGGTGTAAACTTGTGTTTTCTATACCAACTAGTTGGCATTGGTTTTTGTGCCCCTCTCACTAAATATATTTTGTTATTTTGGTAGAAGAGGAACCCGAAGACTTTCCCTTGTTGCGCATTCGAGATGAAGTCTGATTTAGCCTCTGGGGACTTTCAGCGTAGTCCTGGCCTTGATTAGCTTTCGGTCTCGCCCTGGAGATTCTGGGAATTTCAATTCAAATCACTATAGTACCACGACCACTGGTTTATATTTAGCCCTGTTTAACCTTGTGGGCACGGGCACACTTCCTTTTCGGCGTGTCACTATTGTGGGTCTCTGTTCGCAGCCAGATGACAATGATGGAGCCTGGCATTGATGCTGAAAGGACACGGACAGGGACAGGGGCAGAAGGACACGGCCAAGGACGCGCCAGGAAATGAGAAGGGCCGTCGAGTTATGACTATGAAGTGTTGGCTCATCAACGCGAAAGTTATCTCAGCGACGTCTCCCCTCAAACTTCAGTGGCTGTCTGTTGATTTTCACAGCATTTTCCCTGTCTAACGAACTAAGAGCAGCTGTTAGTTTAGATTTTATACAAGTAATATAATCGTAGTTATGTAACATTGTAGTTTCCTTTCACCGAAGTTGCTTAGTTTTATTCTTAAAAAGATCCCAAAGTTAAGACCAGCCCATTGCCTGCTAATGACTTGCACTTGGGCTCCTTTAATTTGCTACTGCCACTGCCACATGCCATTCGGCATTAATTTGCCACAGCCTCCAGTTCTCCTCACACTCTCCGCTCATTTGTGCTCTCTTCTGCTTTTGGGCTCACTTAATTACAATAATTCATCATCTTGTTTTCGTTCTATAGAAATCCAGCCACGCTCCATGTTGATTAAATTCATGTTCCCATTGTTTGGGCTCTTTTTGTGAGCTGGAAATGGAGATGATGGAAATTGTAGCATCCTAAGAACTTAATAGGGGAAAATGCTGTGCCGTATTATGTGGCTTGGTTTATGGTTCTGCTGCTCCTTCGATTGCATGTGCAACAGGCAAACAGGCAAAAAGCAGCATAAATATATGGCCCTGGCCATGGCAATTGCATTGACGCACACAAAAATCCCCCTTCTCCCTTCTCCCCTCCCAGCTTTCTGCATTTTCCCATTTTCCCTCGTTGGCTAGCCGCAAAACTCCTGCCAGATGATTTCAATCAGACTGTGGGCGTGCATTAATGAAGGGGAAACTGGTAAAGGAAAAACGAGGGGGCAAATCGAGGAGAGGCGGGCGAAAATGGGGAGTGGACAGGACAACAGGCTACGAGCCGGGCCAACAAACATGGCATAAACAAAACACACACACACACAGCCGAAATAATAGCCAATGAGAGTGGGAAAGAGAAAATGCAGCGAGAGTTGGCAAAAAGCTTTTCATGGCCAAGAGAAAAGTCGAATAGCTTTTCGTGCTCTTGCTCTGGCTCAGTGATGCTCATTTTTTTTACTAGTGAAATAAATTTTGGCTTAAAACAGAAGAAATTCTAATTTAAAATTATTTTTATAAGCAGAAAAAACCTTATTTTAAGGCCTTACCAAAATAACTACAAAATTAAGATTTTTAGAAGTCAAAATGGGTGGAAAACTTGGGAAGTTTCTGTCTAAAATCTCATAAAATAAATACTTAAATATATTTTTTAGAAATCTTTAATATTATTTAAGACAAAAACGTTCTTGAAATCCTTAAAAATCAATAGCTTAAAGTAGAGAAGAAAAGACTGCAAAAATGTAGTCTAAAAATCCGGAACTTAGGGCAATTAATTCTCTCAAAAGAAAAGTTTTCCCCGTCAATTTATTATGATCTCTAAAAATTGGTTTGCTAGCCTCTAAAGTCATATATTTGGCAGCCAGAAAAGTTGGCCAACTTCTTCCGTATTCCATAACTTTTTCATTTGACTTCAAGACTGAAACAAAGAGATTATGCAAACGGCTGACTAGAACGACAATTTTCATTACGAAACTTTGTCGCATCGGCTGAGTTGAATTATGCAGTTGGCAAAGGATTGCAAGGTGTCATTAATAATTGCTTTATGTGGCTAAAATGTGGCTAATTGACAGAGCAACGTGGCTAGGACTCTTCTTCCCTTCGCCCATTTCCATAGCTGCTATGAAACTAAGAGAAAGCCTGGAGATGGAAGATGGAAGCCTCAGAGTTCAACCACCAGAAAAGCTCTCTCTGCGCCGCTTATCAGTGGGTGATGCTGCTGCTCTGGTGGCTCTGATTCTCAGTTCTCAATTCTCAATTCTCAAAATTCTTGGGTGGTTGTGGACGCGCTAGGACACACAAGTGTGTGTGGTTTTGGTCGCTGCTCGACGCTCGTCGCTCGTCGCTGGTCGCTTTTGGCTTTTCGCGCGGCGCTGCGATGTCATGAAAAACATTTGAACGGCTTCCGTGGGCCATCAGTTTGTTGGCAATACTCGAGCCCGTCGGAGCACACGAAAAAGAATTTTTGAAAAAAATATTCCAAAATTAGAAAAGCATTAGAAGAAAATTCTCTAAAAAAAAACAAAAAACTTTCAAAACAAAAGACAACAACAAATGTTTATCAAAATCCAAATGCCAAACAAATTGTGATGTGATACGAGGCGGCTAATTAACGCGTCTTTTGAGTTTTTCCCTCATTTTCCTTGATACCTTTCCGTTGTTTTTGGGTAATCTTTATGTTCTCTGCCGCCTTTCAATTTTTTATGAGCTGTTAAACGTATTTATCGGCGAGTGTTTTCGAGTGTTTTTCGCGCCGCGAAGTTAATTTCAAATTTTTATGCTTTTTGGCCAATTTATGCGAGCAGCTTTTATGTGCCAAGCGAAATCAACAACAAAACCATAAATAAATAACTCTGGCCGTGAATGAAATTGAAAATTTCTGGTGGACATAACATATATTAGAGAGAGAGAGAGGAAAGAGAACTAAGTGGTTCGATTAATTTTTGAAATTAAATGAAAAGTGCATTGACTTTGGCAAAGAAAAACACAGAATACAAAGTCAAGGTGTTCTCTCTGGCCAACTCTTGTTATTGTTGTCTCTGCGAAATGCATTTTATTTAACGAATTTATTCGCAACGAAATAATCAACAGAAAAACATATTTAAATATATTGCTAAATTTGTGTGTGCTTGAAAAAAATAAAACAAAAAATATAGTAAGCTTAATTCATATCCCAGCAAGCTGATTCTTTTAGTTTTGGCAGGAAATTGAAATGCATTTTATTTGAAAGGCAAACAAAGTGGTTTTGTCATTAATTATTTGGGGTTTTAACGAGTCAATAAATAATACTAAATGCTCATTTTTCTCAGCCAACTTAAGTGACTTTTAATCGCTTAAATAATAAATAAATAACTCTCTCTAAGCAGCAAATATGAATAAATCTTCTCATAGAAAGCCTATTAAGCCAGCTTACTCTCCCATTGCTAACCAAATTAATTGACTAAATTAACACAAATTGCAATTTCTATGGCCTTAGCAGTCCATTCTAATCACATCAGCAGAAATACCTCAAACAATTCCCAAACAATTTGCCATAAACAAAACCAATATTAGAGCCAAAGTGGTTGCCAATCCTGAGCAAATATTTGAGAATCAGCTTGCCACTACACCCACTGCCACGCCCATTCGAATAGCTATTATAAGTTTGATGTGCAACTAAGAAAGTAAATTACCGAAAATTTCAATTCGATTGAGGCCAAAATAAACAGAAACAAAAGCAGAAGCCACTCTCTCAAATCACATGAGGATTTCCATAGATGGAAAAAGTTTCGCAATTAGAGTGAGTTCTGAGGAAGATAAGCTGAGATGGGGAGCCGAGATAAGGATGACAGGCGAAGGCGAAGAGTGTGGAAAGTGGAAAATGGTTATACACTTTCCAGAACTTTATCATTCATCCAAGGGTCGGACACTCAAATTATAATTTACTGGCCTTAGACTTGGCAGACTTTTTAGTGGGCGCTATGTTTATCGAGGTTTTACTCCAGGCACAGGGAAAATAAATAGAAAAGTATCTTCAAGAACCAGTTTAAGGTGTTAGTCCTTAGTTTTCCTTTAAGTTCACCCTTACTTTATCAGTGTATAATTTTTGTACATTTTTCGTAACGCAAAAATACGCACCACCTGAGAGCGAAATTTGACCCGTCCCGTGTATCTGGAAGATACATAAATAATAATACCCTGCGTTGGCGAGGGCGGACCAGCTGGGTTAACTGAAGCAAATGGCCATCGATATGGATGCCATTTGCTCTGAAGTATCCTTGAGGGGCAGCAGCAGCAGAAATGGGAGAAAAGCTAAGCAGGCTTATTTGTCCAACAATCCCAACACCCCCTACATTCGCCCATCCTTTGGGCTTACGTGACTTTTGTGCCATGTGCGAGTGGTGGTCCTACCATAATTCTTCCATTTTCTCTGGATCTCTCTGGGTGCAAGTGAAATTAATGAAGCAGTTCATCCGACACTGAATTGATTGGCTTATTACGCTGGCAACTTGAGTAGGAATAGGAATTGGAATTTCACTTTCACTTTTACTTTCATTCCCTGTCGTTTTCCAGACAACAACGATTTTTTTCTGCCAGGATAAGTGCTGCGATGACAGGACATTTCTTTTTCGGCCCGCATGCCCCATTTGGTTGGCTGCTGCTTTCCCCAGGGGAGCAAAAAGCATATGGAGAGCTTCTCATAATTGAATTCCCATCAAACCGCAAATAACATCAAAATTACATTATTTGCTCTCGCTTTCAGTTTTTGTTTTTTTTTTGTTTTTTGTTTTTCGTTTGGTGTCGTCCTGGCTCTTAATTGCGAAACATTTCCGATATTTCAGTCACGTTCGATTGCTATCAATATGCCACGTCAATGCCTCAATATTCGGCAGCAGTGGCAACTTTTTGCCAGCCTTGCCTGCCTGCCTCAACATTTCCATCTGCCATGCCATTAATTTTTGGTCTTGCTTTTCCTCCTTTTTTTGAGTAACATACATTTACATAATACCACAAAACATATTGGCCAGAGAGGAGGGGGGTGGATGGATAAGCCCCCTAGTCATTTGTTTGATTAGCAATTTCAATGGGCGTGACAGAAACACTCAGAAGTCGAGGGGGAAATCGTTGAAAGGAAAAGCTCATAAAGAAGTTTTCGCTTGACAAACGCACAAAGATTTCCCATCAATTACTTTTCAAATGCAAATATTTTACAGAAAACCTAAAAACAGAAAGAGAAACGGCAGTTACTATAACCAAAAAATATTGTGTTTCCTGAAATCAAACTCAAAACTAACTACGATTTTAAAGATCCATAAAATTAAACGGTTAACAAAAGCATCAAATTAAAGTCAACTACACGGGTCGGTTGTTGTTTAAAAACCAAAAAAAAACTATATAAACATCTATACAGAAATATATATTAATATCTATATACAGAACTTAAAGACAAGCGTTAAAGAGGCTTTCAGAACTAACATTTAATGTGAACTTAAAACCATAAACCTTAAGTATATATACCAACTAAAGGCTTCAACTTGAATCGTATGTGACAGAAGCGAACTAACTGCTCAACCAAGTCAACTAAGTAAATATTTGTTAATTAAAAAAGCCAACAAAATCAACAAAAACAACAACAAAGACAGCAACACTATACAAATTAAAGCAAACAAAGTTACAAATCGCCGCAATTGAAAGCTTCCATTTTGAAACAGAGAAATATAAAGCAGAATAAATATTTAACTATATGAATTTATGCAACATATATGAACCTATAAAATATATATATATATATATAAAGAAGTTACTATTTTCTATAAATTTAATATTCAATATACAAAGTTGAAGACAAAAACCAAAATCAAATCAAACTTTGCCCAGTCGAGTACTGCAAATACGAACTTCTCGGAGACAAATAAAATATTTTAAATATTAACTAAACCTTAAAAAACATCAACTATAAACAATATTCAAACACAAAAACTAAGAGGAAAAGTGAAAAATTTAAACAAAAAAAACTCCTTTTTGGTCACACAAATGCTGCAATATCAGCAACCGCAACAGCAACAGCAACAGCAACAACAGCAGCAGCAGCAGCAACAGCTACAACACCAGCAGTTGCAACATCAACAGCAGCAACATCAGCAACTACTGCAGCAACAGCTGCCGCAGCAGCGACGGCAAACGTACAAGGAATACTTGCAGCAACATCAGCAGCAAAAGCAACAGCAACAGCTGCAGCAGCAGCAACAACAACAACAACAACAACAACAACAACAGCAACAACCCCTGCGGATATTCCGCGTCCACTACATCCGGTTGAATTCCAAGGACGGTGTACCGTCCATCAACCAGCAGGTCAATGGCTATCCCAATGGATCCCCCAACGGAGCCAAAATGAAGACCATAGCCCCAAATATCCGCCGTCGGCGGCGGTGCGATAAACACCACTTAGAGCTCTACTGCAATGAGACCACCACGCCACCCACAAATGTGCCCACCAGCAGCAGCAGTGGCAACGTCAGCAGTAATCAGTTGAAGCCCGGAGGCCTAAGGATCCGGGAATGCATTACAGCACCGAGTACGGCGGCCAGTTCGCCGGTGGATGAGCACATGTGCATCCCAGCACCGCCCATTACACCGCCGCCCGCTTTCCTCACCGAGGGCTACAAACGGTCCAGTACCTCGGTCTCCACATCGGCTTTACCCAGTGCCACTAGCAGCCAGGAGACCCAGACCCAGACCCAGACCCACAACCATAACCAGACGCAGACCCACAACCATGTGCAGAGCCTGAAACCGAACCTGATACGCCATCAGAAGCCATTTCCCGTTGTTGCCAAGCCACTGGGTCCGCAGAAACCGAGAACGACGGCCACCATTGCGGTCACGTTGAACAGCGGCTCCAGCAAGCCACGTGCCACGGTCAAGAGGAGTTTAGGTGAGCAACTGAGACACTCGAAGAAAAGTAGGAAAACTAAACTAGGTGTCATGTATTTTGGGAAAAGATTTCCAAGAAAGAAAAGTCACCTTCCCTTTTTCTGGCCTTTACTTTGCTTGACAAGAATATTAAACCTTCTAATTAGCTCTTTTAAAATTCTGTCTGGAAACTTGTTAATACCTTTGATTTCCCATTTCCCATTTCCCTCCATTTACCAATTTTCTCTCTCTGCCATCGTTGGTCAAACGTGTAAGGATCGCCTTGAATTCCCAAAACCCACTCAACGTCGGCGATGAAACATTGCCTTGGACATTGCAGCGCGTTTTATGGCGGCGGTAATAAAGTGTGCTATATGCGAAAGTGGGCGGTGTGAGTGTGTTTTGGAGAATGATGGGCGTGGTCAGCCATAAAGAGTAGAGCCAGCAAACTGCAGCTGCTACCATTCGTGGTCCGAGAGTGGGCGGTTGGTGGTTTTTTTGGGGGTGGTGAAGCGATTAGCCTTAAGCCTGCAACTTTATTGAAAAGTTTTATGACCAACAGAAGCTCGCCGAGGCGCTTTTTGTATCAATTTTGACGGAGAGACAAAGAGCTTAAAGTGTCGATCAGGATATGTGCCAGGGGATAGTTTTTAAAAAGCAGCTTTAAAACTTTAGTTTTGTGGGAAAATGTTTTTGAAATTAATTGGCTAAGTGTCAGATGATGTTAAAGAGGGTCTTAAAGGAGAGTCAGGGATTTGGTTTAACAACTTGAAGTGTGAATTTGTGGTTGTATAAAGTTAATAACTATCTGCAAAGTTAATTAAATTCCATGAACCACAGGCATTTGTGTTAATCACAATTAAACTTCCAACAGCTGCGAACCGAAAAAACCAACCTCATTAATTTCATTCAGGCAAAAATCTCTCTCTTTCTCTCTGGCCCTTAATTTTATTACCAATCAACGTGGCAAATATTAACAGCCACTTGTCTCCATCGCATATATTTGCCTGATTCTGCGTGTAACGAACCCCATTATTGCCAGACTGATATATGTTTGTGGGTCTGTGGCTGCCACATCCTCCGAGTGTGTGATGCCTCTCAATAAGGCCATTGAGGCCGATATGCAAATGTTGAACTTCTGAGCGCCGAGGAGCGGCGCCCAAGAAAGTGTCAATAAAAATAAGTTTCAATGCAATTGCCGCCTGCGAGGAGGGATTCTTTGGTCCTTTTCGTCCTTCCTCTTGGCTCTCCATCTCGCAATTTGATTGCATTTGCTGGCAGCCAAGAATTGCATATTGAGCCGGGCAAAGTTGCCCTGAAGGAAGATGAAAAACGAGAAATATATTGTGTAGGCGCCTCCCCCGCCGCCCTGCCTCTCCTCCTTCCAACGGAGGGCTTTGAGAAATGCCATCTAAGTTCTGCCAGGAATTGTCGTCGTCTTCAGTTTGATCGATTTGTGTGCACAATTTGCTCATCATAAAAATTGTATGCTTCGTGTATATTCCTGAAAATTATTTTCTCTCCACTGAGAGATATTCTTAGTAAGTTTTTGGTAAATTAGAAAATCAATGGGACCTTGCCAATGGGTTCTATGGTTTGGAAACTATACTCAAGTTCAGTTTTGGTCATGAAGCAACTTTGCACCTAATTAACTTCCCCATTTTCCCGCTGTGTTCTCATATCTTCACCGTCAAATTCCAGCCATGAGTTAGATCATTTCTGTTTGCCCAATGAATTGCATAAGGCCATTTGGAAATTGTGCTGCGGAGCCTTGTGCCAACACGTGTGTGCTGGCAATTACCAGACTTTGGCATGAGTTTGCCAAAAATTTCCGTACTCTTGAGCTCGTGTAAGATGCTGCCACAAAATCTAATTCCGCCGAGCAGGGATGGTGGGGTTAGGGCTGGGGTAATGGTAAACGGAAAATCTATGCCACAGGCGGCAAGGAGCAAGGAGCACTCTCTCTCTCTCCCCCCACTCAACCTGCATGTTATGAAATATTCAATCAAAATAAACAATTTTCAAGCCATAAATCCGACTAGCCAGCAGTCAAGGTTTCTAGTTTTGCCATTTTGCTCCCATTCAGTCAGTCATTGAGTTCAGTTAGTCCATATCTTAGGCATTCATTACATTATTAAAATATTTCGATTTTGCATTCAGCTAACAAACTATTTGAGCCATGGCCAGTAGAAGTCTAGTTGCCTTTTCCAATGACAGAGGGGTGAGAGAAGTTGGTTGGGAAAGCCAGTTGGTTGCATGGCCAGAAACTTTTGCAATTTTCTAGCATATAAAAGATGGAGCATGATTTAAATGAAAGAAGGGGGAGGGGAAGGTAGTTAGTTCAGGGGGGAAATTCATGAGTTCAAAGAAAATGCAGTTTAAATTTTCAACCTTTTCCTGAAAGGCATTCTCTAATAATTAATTTTTAAACATTTTTGTCCCCTTTTAAACTCTAACAAAAAGCCATTTTCACTTCCATTTACTACACAAGTATCGACCCCTCAAAACATTCTATTTAATGAATTTTCACACCATTAATACGGGGGAAAACTTTGCCTTTGCTTGTGCCTTCGCCTTCATTGAGTGACCAGCCAAGTTTTCTAGTCCAAATTAATTGGCAATTAATTGAAAGTTGGCCAACTTTTGGGAACTTCCAGAGAGCGGAATTCAAGCCACATGTTCTGGTGAGCGCTCTTAGGAAAGTGAAACCAGAACAGCTCAAGGTCCCTCTGAGAAGAAATTGCAAGATGCAGCAAAGTCCTCGAGGCAATTGCTAATGTGGCATGCAACTTTCGGCCCAAGTGGGGAAAACTTTCGCATTATCCCGCGAGCATTACGTAAAAAGGGAGCGAGAGTTAATAATTAAATGCATAAATGCGAGCTGCTTTTTAATATTTTCCACTCACATTTCCCAGGCCTTGCTGCGCGCGTTATAATCCGAAAACATTAACACAGAGTCATCATCAGGGCTGGGTGAAGGGGGTGGTATAATGTGGGAAAATACGAGGGAAATTGTACAAGAGTGGGTGGCAGCAGGCAGCAGAAGCTTTTAATTGAATGCGTGACTTGTTGAAACTTTTTGTGATTTGGCCCCAAATGAGGCGACGATTTGTGGGTGGTAAGCTGCTGCTGTGTTGACAGTTTTTGGACCGATTTGACTGGCTGGATGGCTGACTGGCTGTCTGGCTTCTATATAAACCGATTAACAGAGGCATCAAAAGTGCTTTGTGGCCAAGAAGAGTGTAGAGTAGAGTAGAGCTTTTAATGAAAATGCGCAGATATTGTGAAGCTGGCAGCGATTAAATTAATTACTTAAAATGGTGTCGATTAACGTTTAATTGCATAATTATGCGGCGGTGGTAATTTTAAGGCTTTATTAAATTAAACACTTTTGACTAACTGTTGAATTTTCCCTCTCATTTATTTGCAGGTGAGTTTTGGCTAAAGAAGAAAGAAAGAACCTCGCGGAAATCTGTGGGTAAACTTGAAAAATCTCTTATCCTTTCATACAACCCACCCCTCTTTATATTAATCAATCAAAAAGTGTCGGAAACTTGCGACTATCAATTCGAAATGCGGCAGCGTAATCAATTATCTGTCACGACAAAGTGAGGACAACTATCGAAAGAAGTTTTCCCCTTAACGAGAAAATGAAAAACTGCCAGCAATTCGCTAGCTCTTTCTCTTTATCTCTCTCTTTCTCTTTATCTCGCTGAGATATAAAAAACAGAAAGGAAAACGGAAAATGCAGGGAATGTCAAGCGAAAGTAATCTAATAAAATTGTTGGGGTTGGCAGCGAAGTAAGCTTATTTATGATTTGCTGGATTTCGCAGTAAGAGAAGCTATTTCATGTGGAATATCTGCTGCAAACACTGCAACTATTTGCGAAACAATTTCAATGAAAATTACTTTCTGGCCGTGGCACGAAACGAACGAGCCAGCAGAGGCAGATGCAAATTGTAGCATACTTATTTGGGCCAGCATTTAATTTGTAATTTATGGGGGGAAGTTTCGTTTTCGGTTTTCTGTTTGTTATACATAATGAATGCTGCTGTATGTTAAATGATATTATTCTTCAGATTAAAATGAAATGAATTTCAAGTTAAATGTCCTTAGGCTTATCGTAAAAATATGCATAATTATCATTTAAATATTTCGATATTTTGGCATAGTTTAAATTGAAGTTTAGCTCACATTTTTTGAATATTTTTTTGCGTTTATAGAAATGTTTTACATAACAATTTGTGGGATTGGCCAGGCGCCAAGCAAACAAACAAAAAACTGCATGCAAAATTGGTTTGTTTTCTGCATTCCGCAAAATATGTAATTAAAAATCATTTTAGAGGGCCAGTGAAAGCGGACAGCTCTCACGCACTTTCCAATGCGGCACGTGGACGCAGCGAGGCGTGCATGTGTGTGTGTGTGTGTGTGTTTATCAGGTCCTGCCGCGTCCTTGCACACTACAGAAAAAAAAGAGGAAACTCAAAAGGGGCAGAGATAAACGAGGAGAGAGAGAGAGATGGGGGGAAAAAGAGATGCCAGAATCAACATCCGGCGCAGGAAAACTGAGCCAGCAGCAGCAGCAGCAAGTGGCAAGTGCAAGGTCAACTTTGTTGAAGGACAACCGCCTGCCATCATCAGCAGTCCACGCCCTCTTTTTCAGAACCAAGCCTCCTGCCGCCCCCTTGTATGCCACCAGCCCTCCCCCCTTCATATTCCGCCCTCTCTTTTTCCGCAAACACAAAGCGCAATTGTCGCGTTCTGGTTTCGTGGATTTGCCGTATGCGCTGTTTGTATTGTTGTTTGCCTTTCCATGTGTGTTGGTTAGAGTGTGTGTGTGTGTATGTGGTGGGTGTTTGTGTGAGTGTGTGTGTGCTTGGCATGTGCCTGTGTGGTGGTGTTTACTATTCCCTCGGCTGTGACGTTTCATTTCGTTTCGTTTAACGTTTTGCGGTTTTTTGCGCCTAATTGCTGTTGGCCAATCCAAGGAGATTTTTATTTGCCATTTTTGGTAAATGAAA